CTCAACTCGTAGGCAGTTCCTCAAACCCCTACCTCTTCGTCAAAGAGATATCCTCCGATGGCAACGTTCAAACTGTCGACGTATTGTTTCCAATGCACCCGATTCTTCTCTACACCAATCCACTTCTCCTTAAATTAGCCCTTAAGCCTTTATTTGAAAACCAAGAAACAGGTCGCTACCCCAACGCCTACAGTATGCACGATCTCGGTTCCGCCTATCCTAATGCTACTGGTCACTCCGCGGGGAATGATGAAGAAATGCCATTAGAAGAGTGCGGAAACATGCTTATCATGTCCCTTTCTTATTTCCGCGCTACTAACGATACGGAATTCTTAAATGATCATTATGAAATCTTGGATCAGTGGACTCAATACCTGATTGCTTCTGCGCTGATTCCGGCGAATCAACTGAGCACAGATGATTTTGCCGGCAAACTGGCTAATCAGACAAATCTGGCATTAAAGGGTATCATTGGGATTAAAGCCATGGCGGAAATTGCTTCTTTGACCTGTCATTCTAATGTTTCGACAAATTACAGCTCCATTGCTCAGGAATATGTGGAAAAGTGGATACATCTCGCTGTCGTCAACTCTACGAGCTCTTCCAGTTCTTCACCAATGCTTGCCCATACTTCACTCAATTACGCTAATTCTTCATCCTATTCTCTACTCTATAATCTCTTCCCAGATAAACTCCTCTCTCTGAACCTTATCCCTCAATCGATCTACGACATGCAATCCACCTTCTACCCTTCAGTAACAAACACCTACGGTGTTCCACTAGATTCGAGACATGGATGGACAAAAAGTGATTGGAATATTTGGTGTGCATCTATTGCATCGGAACAAACGAAGAAGGAAATGATAGGAAATGTTGCAAAGTTTGTGGGAATGAGTGAATCGGGAGTAGCGTTGACGGATTTCTATGATACAACGACAGCAGACTTAGCAGACTTTGGTGCTCATTTTATCGCAAGGCCGGTTGTGGGGGGACATTTTGCAGGAGTAGCTTTGAATAAATTGGGAGTGGAAGTGTAGATGTGAGGTGATGGAAGAGGGAAGATCATACATAGTTAGGATTGAGGGATGGATGCTACCGAATGCCAGAAATTCGGTTTGTATTACTTAGATTCTTGTTTTTCTTTGTATCTTGTTATGGGAGTTAAAAGTTGTAAAAATAGCGTGTATTGTCTAGACGAGCGTTAGAATTGGAATTGGAGCTGGAGAAAACTTGGGATAGTTATTAGAAAACTCACCATTAGACGAGCCTTTATACCTCAATGTAAAATTGTATCAGCGAGTTTCACTCTCGATTCTTCAATGCTGTTAATATGACGATACGATTGTCTAGTCTACAGCTCGTACCCATAGTATTAGCCTAGACCTAGATAACCCGAAAATCTCCCTAGAGGTACGCCAACCACTACCAATGCCGAGACCAACATCAGATAAAGTCCATCCCGAACTTTCAACTTATTCATCACGATGCTATGAAGACACAGTCCTAAAATTCAAATCAGAACTATATCTTGACTTATGACCTAATGATAAAATTGGGGATCAGATATTAATTGCGTTGGTAGACAGCGAAGAATCCCAAGCTCAAACCTGTGAACTTCAGATAAACCTTTTTCTGTTCATCTCCATCTACAGACTTTGTAATTTGGAGACGGCTTTAGTTGAAGTTGTTGATTGCAACGTTGTTGTGGGTGTTCAAGTCGAAGTGGCAGGATAGGTTGAAGTGGTTCTGGTGATTATTGTCATCAAGTGGAATTCGTGGCTGGGGTGATGGACATACGGATTAATCTTCGATGATGGGGATGGTAGTTCTGAGAGATGAATCAGGGTGTAATCGATATTGAAAGGTGTCGGAGAAAAATCAACATTTTGCTTGGTTAGATACTTTTGGTGTGACGGATAGCGTGTAATGGACGGCATGAATTGTCTATGGATATTCAAGGGTATCACGGCGATAAAGCGGGTTGGCTCAGAGCGCAATTCATATTTCCATCGCAAGATGGGATGGAAATATTCCTCATTCAGTGAAAGAGGAACGGACAAGGGTGGGCGGAAAGGAAGTAGACATATTGATCAGATGATTATGGGATCCAATGATGAAAGTTTACTTTCATGTCTCGATATTGGATATTTCAAGGCCACACTCAATTCTTCAGCTTACTCTTGGATTCTTTAGACTGCGCCCTTATTAGTCTTGTCTCATCCTTCTGATTGGTGATTTGTTTGAAATTCCCCAAGGAGACGGTATCGCGGATCCCATCAGCCGGTGCTTTCCATTGACATGTTTCCTTTTGCTTCCGCAACTGCTCTCTCGCTTATTTCTCTGTATCTTGACTCTGTTTTTTCTTTATCGTACACCGCTAGTTGATTTTCTTGCCACCATCTATCGACCTCGCCGTTTCTTCTAGCATCGCAGCGTATCACATTTTCTGATCTTTGTTCATGCTATACATGTACTCGCATTATTCTGTCACTTCGATTGATCTTGAGATGTAGGAACTAAAATGGGTTTTCGGTATTTCAAGATAGGTCAATGAAATAGCCGAAAAAGTAAATGGGGTCCACCGCCAGATCGCGAGCTCGACTATTTCGCGACAAAATGAAACCCTGAACATCCAATGACCTGATAGGCGCTCTGATTGTCAAGTTAGAACTGGAGCCCCAAAAAGATTGAACTTGACCTGCTTACCTCGTATCGTGAAATGGGATCTGGTTCTTATCCAATTTGAAACACAAGAAAATGTTTAAAGGCCTTGGATTTTCTTTATGGCGCCTGCGGCTATTCCCTCTGCAGGGGCAGGCTAGGTGTTTTTTCTGTATATGCGACGTAATTAAACTGTAAACACTAGAAATAATTTGAAGATATTTCCCGAGAACTTGTATTTGATCTAACTGAATTAGATGCAAATTTCCACCTACAATCGCGAACTTTGATTGCTTACGAATCTCCAAGTCATATATTTCCACCAGGCTACACTAGAAAATATCATTTTTTTAATTATTTTTCTGGTTTTTTTTTGATTCGTGGCAGCGGATTCTTCAACACTTGACATTCGTGCGTTCCGTACATAGGAAAATGCTTTCAAGCCTTCGATCAGGCTAGGTAATACTATCGGCTATTCACCCCTATACATGCAAAAATTGTATAACGAAGACTGATAGACGAGTTTGAACTGTCCCTTCTATTGGTAGCTCAAAGTCCCATCATATTTTCAACTGCATCTACCCAAGCGTAGAGACTATATCCTACACTTCTCGTGATTGATATACCTCCATGGTACATCCGCAAATATATGCGCTTTTTTAAAAAAATCAAAACTTGACGTTATGTATTATTAGAACCATTATTATTGTTGGATGTTCATTCATTCCTACCGAATACTGCGGCGTGAACCCAGTACCTGGTTTGGACTTCGATATTCAGACACATCAAACACACGTCGGTTTCTCTTGAAATCGGAACACAGCTTGATTCTCGAGTTAGACAATCGCCTATCCATTTAGAAATACGATTGTTGAAAAGTTACCTGTCTCTGTGGTCTGAAGTAGCGATTTAGAAATCAGATGTAAGTCTCAAGAATCGAATTCTTGAAAGTCTGCTTCCTCCTATCAAACCAAACGACTTTCAACCCTGCACGCCAGTACTGCCCAATTAGTCGGCTTTCCAGCTTGCCTTACAAGTTTTCTATTTATGAACTTCGGAAATTCAACCTCCCAATCGACCTTATTCCAGTAACTTGAGTTTCCCCTGAAAACGCTCATGGACATTGAAAAGACTCTGAAATCGTATACATTTGGGCTGACGCCTGTATGATTTCAAGAGATCTGTCCTCACAATTGCAGCTAATCACCAATCTACCATTGGAGCGTATCTCTTCCTTCACTTACAATTCATGGGATCGAAGTATCGAGGAACTGGAATTGGATCATCTGTCAACTAGCCAAAATTGACAAATAGAGCAGCACTCCGGGGAAGATATGTATGTTATTGCTCTAAAGGGTAGCATTGAAAGGGTGGCTCGTCTCTCTTCTTTCAAAGGTATGGATGGAGATGACTAGAAGAATCAGAAACAAGGTTACCGCAATTTGGGACGGCTACAATAGTTAGTACCGGGGAAATGGACGGCGATTGAAACTATCAATGTCGTTGGCCTAGCCAGCATGAAATATCTCGGCTATCGATTGGTCGAAGATGGTGGAGGGTATTTCCAACATGCACGACAACGATGACTTCGATTCCTACCAGTATGGTGGATGAGTGAAGAGAAGTCCGAGGAAATCGAGTTTCAAACCTGCTGTGCAGCTTAAGAATGATTCATGATTCAGTGATAATGTACAGTTCCAAACTGCGGTATGGTTCAAGAACGACTTGTCATTCGAATTTGCCGTACGACTCAAGAATGTCCATGATTCGAAGATGATTCATAATCGAAATTCGCCGTACAACTCAGAATGAGTCATGATTCAGAGATGATTTGTAATTTAAGACGTACCTCTTTATATCAATAAAAAGCCGTACATACATACAACGTCGTGAATATACCGTATAATGTTCTGTTCGTTGTTGGCAAGGTACGGTATTCGAAATTCATCTCTTACCTTCTCGTTCGATGTGTACACCTCTGCGCATACATAGTAATTCACTCAACAGCGGCATGAATGGGTGAGCGCGTGAATGAGCGGACCTTAATGACTTGGAAAATTGAAATACGGTCAGTACAGCAATGTTCACGACGGTGTGACACTAAGGGAATTGCAATACATTCATCTCGTCGTCAAAGTCCTTAAATACATAGCTCCCCCAACCACTCTCCTTCTTTTTTTCTCTTTCTCTTGTAAACAACTTCCAAATAACATTTTCTACATAAACATCGAGATCTTCCACACAACGAGATCTTCCACAAAATATCTTCTCTTCATCAGCCATCAACACTCAAGAGCTGTTTGATCTCTGCCAGATTACTGGTAGTTTTTTGCATTCAAATGCCTTCCATAAAAACTCTTTTGCGCAACGTCGCATCCAAATTCAAATCCAAAGTCTCAAAGTCGACGCAAAAAGACCCTCCACCTTCGGTTTCCGATGAAGCATCAACACTCAATGTCACCATGGTCAATGATTCCTCGAATTTTGATCATTGCTTCTCTCCAACTCCACAGTCAGCCCCAGCTATAGTTGACTCCGACTCTTTCGATGGCCGCGACAATAAAACCGCACTTGACGACACACCAAAAAGCCCCTCAATGTCGCTTCCAACATCGATTGTCCCAGAACCTTCCGAAGACACTTTAGAAGGTTTACGACAATGTGCCGAGTTTATCAATTCTGTGTCCTCTGATCTTTCGCCTGCTCCGGAGTCGATAAAATCTTCTGGCTCCGAGATCCTTCGGGGTTCGGGTTCTACCTGCGACTGGGACGATCAAGAGCCGTTTGTGACATACAAGCATAAGATCATTCAGTTATGTCATGATCTTGGTCTCGGTGAGCCCTCGAAAGTTGAGCGTATGAGAGGAGGTAGTTTCAATAGAGTCGTCTGTCTTTCACTTCCTTCCAAAGACAATCAGGACCATGTTCTTCGCATTCCTCGAAATCTTGATACGAATGAAAGCACTAGAGATCAGGTTGCAGTTCTACATTATCTCGCCCCATTGATGCTAGTTCCCGCTGTTGTGGCCTTTGATTCCACCTCAGACAATGTCATTGGTCGTCCATATATCCTTCAAGAAAAGCTCAAGGGAGTTAACGCTGGATCAGTTTATTACGACTTGCCTTCTGATGAGAAAATGCAATTCGTCAAATTACTTGCTGATATCGTTAAGAAGTTGAATACTTTCAAGATCGATCGACCAGGACAACTTGTTGCAGGGCCTTCCATTCCTTCTATCTCTCATGAGCCGCTCACCATCCCAACTGATATTGAAGTCACCGGCTACCGCTTCAGCCAGCATGATGCATTAGAAGTCATGTCCAGCCAGAACAAGCAACCACTATCATCACTTTTGGACTCTATCTTTGAAGAACGCAAAAAAGCCGATGAGGACTTCATGGGTCTCCAGTGGAACTCACTTCAGAAAATCACAAAAGAAATGAAAACTGCCGGGTTGTTCTCAAACACAGACACCGATTGTGTTGTATGGCATTGGGATCTTGCATTTAGAAACATCATGGTTGAAAAGCAATCAAATGGACAATGGGCTTTAACTGGTATCCTGGATTGGGATGGGCTCTTGTCTGCACCGTCCGTTATGACTAGAGCTCCACCTGTCTGGCTATGGATTGAAGAAAATGACCGCTCAAGCAAATGGCATGAGGGTCTAGGCAACAATGATATTCAGCCAGCTCGGGAATTGACTATGGAAGAGCTTGTCCTTAAATCTTCTTTTGAGCAGATTTTACAACGAGCAGACCAGAATTATATGGCGGATGCTTATGGCCGAGGTGTATGGATTCGACGACTTGTTAAATTTGCTCTCGAGGGATTTGCTCAAAGCAGTCATTATATTATGTTGAAAGTGTTAGTTCGTGAGTGGGAAGCCTACTATCAGTCCTTAGATCTTGATACAGACACGGAAGATGATAGTGATGACAACGGATCGGATGGGTCAGATGATGAGGACGGATCGGATGGCCAGACGATGATGAGAATGGATCGGATGGACCAGAAGATGATGAGAACGGATCGGATGGACCAGACGATGATGAGAAGCTTGCATCCTCCAGTGTCACATATCGTTCAAACCACTCCAATCAATCAAGCGCTTCGTCAACCTACGAATTTGCACAGGAATCGTTTGAAACATACAAGTTGAAAGTTGCTCAGCTTTGTCAGAACATCGGATTCGGTTCTCCATCGAAGGTAGAGCGAATGGGCGGTGGAAGCTATAATCGAGTCATCGGACTCACATTTCCGGGACAGTCTGAAGATCGAAATTTTGTTCTCCGTATTCCACGCTCTCCATATGAAGATCATGAATTGCATAAAATACGCGATCAGGTCGCCACACTCTTGTTTCTCAAACGATTCGACTTTCTCTGTGTGCCAACAATCGCAGCTATCGATACCACCGAGGACAATGTTATTGCATCTCAGTTCGTTCTGCAAGAAAAAATCACCGGGCAGCCTCTCTCGGATGTTTTCCCCACTCTTCCGCTCGCTGAAAAGCTCGAACTCACGACTCTCGTAACCCGACTCTTGATTAAAATGGAGGACATCACCTTTGAAGATCCCGGTGTACTTTCTGGTGCGCAGCTCTTGCCATGGGTTTCCACATCTATTCACCAATCGAATTCCCCACCAGTAATTTCAGGCTTTAGTATTAACCCTATGCACGTCGCCTCGCCTCTCAGAAAGCAAGGTCTTGGATCTTTGCTTTTCAACATGCTCAGCGACCAGAAGAAAACTTATACTTCCGGATATTCGGTTGTATTATGGAGCAGACTTCTAGATGCGCTAAAGCAGATGGAGCAGGCTGGATTCTTCAAAGATTCCGACTCGAGAAACATCTTGTGGAACTGGGATATCTGCTCTCGACATATCTTCGTTGAACGAGACAATTCTCCAACCCCCATTGTCCCCTTTTCAAACTCAATATCGAACACCACACAGCCACTCAACCCTGATGATTTGGGTAACAAAAGCACTGAAAGTGAGGCTGATATTCAGGGTGAAGCTTCTCAAACTCTTGATAGTCGAACTCAAATTGCAAGTGGTGGGTGGAAGATCACTGGAACCATCGACTGGGATGATGCCCTGTCAGTCCCACACGTCATCACTAGGGTCCCGAGAACGTGGCTCTGGTTTGACGACAATGAACGCAGTAAATTTTGGGATGGAGACCGCGAAACTCCTCCTGAACGAGCACTCGCCGAAGATGAACTCGCAATAAAGAATCACTTTGATGAGATCATGCAACAAGCCGATCCCAACTATATGGATGATACCTATTTCAGAGGTGTTTGGATTCGTCGATTGTTTAAGTTTACGCAAACCGGGCTTTGTTATACTCACGATTTTCAGAGAGGTGATCAATTTGTGAAGGACTGGAAAAGTTACTTCGATAATCATGTCTTAATGACACCGGATAAAAGTGTAGCAGATGAAGCTGATTGTAAATCGGAGGAAGGGTCTGAGTAATGGTCTAGCTAAAGTTCAGCTGGGGACTGGGATGGCATGGTGTATGGAATGTATGCAGGCAGATGATAATACTCTCAAGGCAAAATAGGTGTCTCTGGAGACTGGAATGATGGCATGATTTGTGAAATATATGTAGATAGATGACGATACCCGCAAGGCAAGATGAGTGCCTCTCTTATAGATTAGAAATTCACCAGAACATGTCCCACCAAGCATTCTGCAAATTGTGAGATAAATGCGAACTAGATAGCAAGATCTATAAAGCGTATGACCATTCAATAATTTTACAAAACTAGGTATCGTTGGAATTCGACGACAAAACTACCGGGCTTTCTTTCTATAAGCAAAAAAGTAAATAGATTAATTGAAAAATAGGTAGCTTCTGTTTCAATGATTAGGTAGTCTGATCAATATTTTTACATTCTACATCAGGATATGGAGGGCGAAAGATTCAACACCTGTACGCGATACCCTCTACGAATCTTCAATTCTTTTATTCTATTAGAATTTAGAGAGCTAAGATTGAATTGTTGATATTCCTAGTAATCGCAGATTGTATCAATCCTGAATTTTAGGGCATGAGAGTAAGTAAATGACTTTTGGGGGGCATGGGAGTAATTTGCCGTTTACAATAACTAGAATCTAGCTACATGAGTATGCATATTTATACGAACTCATCTTCCCATAATAAGTCCAAAGCCTCAGTCCTTCCACTTGGAATTGGCTTTCAGATATTGCAAGTCCTTTCTCTCCGCCTTATTTCATATCAGTAAGTCCTGTGGCTTGAGCTACATTCGTTAATTCATTACTTTTTTAACCGCCTCCTGTTTAGGCTCATTTCACTAATGTAATTATAATGTTTGTGGAGGGTTTATGAGGACTATTGGTAATAGACTTTAATCTAAAGAGAAGCTAGATGATACTAAAAGGGGGCTAGATAATAGACGAGTCATAGGTAATTTCAGAGCATAATAGAACATTTTCCCCCACACATTGAAATTGAAGTCTCTGAAAATAACAATTAAGAATCAGCTCACACAAGCAATCGAAACGATATGTCTGACGACAAGCAACTCATTGAAGTCTTAAGCCTTAAAAAGACCTTACGACCGGCGACAAAGATCGATACCAATTATGTTAAAGATGGAAAGTTGGTGTACGAGATGTTCACTAGGAACATCAAGTCTAGGGATATCAGTCCACGATTAGCTGGCCAAGTAGAGGCTATCATTGAAGTCTCAAATGATATCTTGAAGAAGCCAAATCGGCTCTTTAGGGGAACATTGAGAAGAAGAAAGCTCTACAAGCAATTGGAGCTACTTGAAGGCGGGTTGCAGAAGCTCGTAGATGGAATTAAAGTAGCTGATGAAGGGGCGAAGGAGGTGAAAAGACTACAGGCTGTCAATAACGAAGAGAAAGAAACGCATCAAATGGAAAAAGAAGAGAAAGAAAGAGAGATTACGGAGACTGAAAGGGAGGTGAAAAGACTACAGGCTGTCAATAACGAAGAGAAAGAAACGCATCAAATGGAAAAAGAAGAGAAAGAAAGAGAGATTACGGAGACTGAAAGGGAGGTGAAAAGACTACACGCTGTTAATAATGAAGAAAAAGAAATACATCAAATGGAAAATGAAGAGAAAGAAAGAAAGATTATGGAGACTGAAAGGGAGCTAAGAAGGATAGAGGATGTCCAGGCAGAGGCAATTCGAAAGATTACGGAGACTGAAAGAGAGCTAAGAAGGATGGAGGGTGTTCAGGCAGAGGCAATTCGAAAGCAAGCCATGCAGAGAATACTGCTCAACTACGGTGACTATGTTGCGGATAGATGCCTAAGTTACAAGCAATCTCCGCAATGGGACCGACAATATTCAGCAAAGTATTGGTCGGAAATCCATGAAATCATCGAGAAGGAGGAGGAGATGAAGGAGAAAGCAAGATCATTTTTGCAAAAACCACCCTTAACACCAATGCTGGGCCATCTCGCAATGGTCGCCTTAGATCTAAAGATACCGGTGGCCGATATCATATGGGATATAGCAGCATATACCGAGAGAAACAAGCTTTGTCACACGGACATAGCGATCATGGTGAAGCAAGAAAATTGGGTTAGACTTGCTCGACGGACCCAAATCGATTATGAAAATGTTGATGCCCTCTTACCGGAAGAATACAAAGACTGGGGACCACCCCTAAAATCTGCAATTAAGCGGTTCCAAGACAAGTACTTCTCCGAATTAAAGATCGTGAGAACGCTACACATCACTGGAGGTTTCGAGATTCGAGACTATACATTGAACACGAAGGCTGATGATGCTAGGAGAGCACAGGAGGAGGCGGCTTCCGAAGTGGCCTTGAAAAGAAAGAAAAAGGCAGATGAGCAGAGGCAATTAAGAATAGAAAAAAAGCAAGCTAGAAAGGAATTGCGAGCGTCTAGGGATTCGGAGAGAGTAAGCAGCACTTGTACTGTATTACGACATCAAGACTCGGCTCTAGATAGTCTGCGTAGAAAACCTAGTGGGTGGGACCCCACCCATTGGGTAATGGTTCTAATGGGTGGGTAATACACTTCATTGGGTATCCAATAAGTGGGTAGGATTTCTAAAAACCTATCCCATTACCTATGGATAACCCAAAATACTATGGGTAACCCAAAATACCATGGGTAACTCAAATATCATGGGTAACCCAAAATACTATGGGTAATCCAAAATACTATGGGTAACCTAATGGGTAATAGGTAATTTAATGGGTAATGAGTAATTTAATAGGTAATAGATAGTAATTAGGATTATAAAATATATTATTTAAGATTAATAAAAAGATTAATAGAATATTCTTCAATTCTCAATTCGAATAATTATCTATATCTATTAAGTATATTATGAAACCTTCTTTGATTTCTTTTTCTATTGGATTTATTAATTATAATCTCATTATCTTTAATTCATTGCCTTTTCGAATTATAGCTTAATAAATCGGGTTGTGTAGTTTGATCTTTTACAGTAATCTATAAATCATTATAAATTACTGGATCTTCGTTTTCCAATCTTTTATTTATTTGATTTGATATATGTTACGTAAGCGGACACAATAGGAGTTGTAAGCTTTACCACTACGCCACACACGCAATCTGTCCAAAAGGCACAGTATCAGGGATTGTTTCCTGATAGCTTACTACTATATATATATCCATATAACAATATATCTTGCTCGACTTTGTAATCATTTTGAGAAAGATATTGTAATATTCTGATTAATAGTATATTTCTTCGTAATTGACGATATCTTCGAAACTTCCTCGTACTATATATATAGTATTCATATCCGATTCTTCATTGTTAATATAATTCTTTTAATTTTAATTATTAAGTTATTTGATCTTAAGATCAATCTTATTTTGTAAATTCGCAATTTCGGCTTTGATTTCCTTTTCAATTAAAGCTATAGATTCTTTAGCAATTTGTATAATATCCTGAGATGTATAATAGCCTCTATCTCTATTTGGAGTTTCCTTTTGTAATTTCTGTTGATGATAAAAAAGGAAAATATTATTATAAATAATTTCTGAAATAAGTTGTTTATGTTGATATAAATATAAATCCCTAATATAATTGAATATTTATTCTATACCAACTCTTACTATTGGAATACAAGGAAATCCCTAGCCATTCTAATTAAACCTAAATAATTATATTCTTTTGCTTTCCAATAAGAAAAAATAGCTATATCAGAAGAAACTAATAAAATATTAGAGATATAATTAATAAAAAGATTAATAAAAAGATTTATGAGAGTGTAACCAAAATCTACTTCATCTACAGTAATTTCTTGAGATCTGTATTATCCAGAAGCATTCCGATAAGATTATTCCAAAACAATTACTAGATTATCCTTATTTGAATTTTACAAAACTTGAAGTTTAGTAATTCTAAATAATATATATTATTAATATTCGATTTTCTAAAATCAACAAAATTGTACTTCGAATTCAGCTTGTCAATCCCGATTTTGATAATTCAATCAATAAGAATTTGAATTGAAAGCAGTTACCTTTGAAGCTAGATATAGCAAAGCTCTTATTGCATAAATACTATTAAGATCATTATATATATTATTATAATATTTATTCAATTTTCTCTCTGCTTCATTAATAACTTCTATTAGTTTTTCAATCCATATGTCACGGTATGGATACATGTGATCGATAAGCAATAAGCTAGGCCCTGTTAGGCTAGCTTATAAGTGAAAATTCTGTATATCTTCATGTTGGAAGATCCTGTATTATAACTCTTCAAGCTATGTTTAATCTATACCCTGTACCTACTATTCTTAGTACTATCGAATATAGATTCTTGATCCCGCTTGCTTGTTTTGTGATACTATATAGCTCCTATCAATATTATTGCAATAGCAATACCAGCTTTGCATCTGCTAATCATCTGGAGGATATCTTTGAGCTTATATAGTTATGATAGAGAATCCTTAAGCTTGGTATCAGTATCTCTAGTTGGCAGTTGTGTATACTATTAGATTGAAAGAAGCTAATTTGTCCCTCAAATATAAGGTTCAAAAAGCATTTATTGAGAAACATATTGAGGTCTCCCTATACAAACAAATCGCCGCGTAGAATATCTGCCTGCTCGATTGTTTTGCTGAATCTATACCTATTCTTGTTATATTCTTTGAAACAATACCTCGTAAACCTGCCCTTGAATTATCTAATGTTACTATACCGTTCTATCCACTACTATTCGTTTGAGTAAATGCATTCTCGACCCTAAAGAATTTAATGATTTCCGATTTGATCTGTAAAGATTCATTCAATAGATATATATAAAGATAAGCTCGAACTCCAATTGTTTCCCTATTACCTTCACTTACCTAACTTATACCACTAAAAAACTTATTGGAAAAGTTTACAAATTAATTCTCCCCAAATTATTTATAGTATTCTACAATTTACTGATTATAATCTGCTTTTAGAATATTTAGAAAATACTTTTAGAAATCTCGATTGCAAATAGAATGCCTAGAATCAATTATACCTATTTAAACAAAAACATCTCGATTTCAATACCTATTTTACCGAGTTCCAGAGACTAGCTCTAAAAGATGAGATACCTGATGACACTCTATGTCACGGGGCAGGCAGGCGGGATCAGGAATCTATATTCGACAGTGCTAAGAACAGTAGATACAGGATATAGACTAAGATGTAACTCGAAGAGCTATGATATAGAATCTTTTAATATGAAGATATACAGAATTTTCACTTATAAGCTAATCTAATAGGGTCTAGCTTATTGCTTATCGATTATGTATATCTATATTATGATATTATTCCCTTTTTCAGGTTGAGCTCCAATGAGGTGGTATATTATAGTTTATAATCTTATAGGTAGGCAATTCAGATCAGACAGGTCCAGGTTTATTAAAATATATACAATAAAAGTTACAAATCAGTTTCTATACACCTTCTAAGTAGCTAGCAAATTCTTCAATTGACTTATTATAGCCAATCCAGTGAATAGTATATTTTAAACGAGATCCTTTACAACCTTTTCTTTCCCAACAGGAATTCAGAATCTTGATAACTTCGAAATACTCTAAGCTATTGATTTTTACAAATGGTGGCAATAAATTATATTGTTTAGGGATAGGATTATTATATACAGGATATAGCAGATTGATATAAAAAATAGGATAAATCCTTATAGAAACAAAGAGTTTCAATTTATAAGCATAAAGGCCTATCAAGTTTAGAATCTTGAATAGATTAAGATTCTTTTAATCAGCTTTTTCTATAAACACAGGGTTTTGATATTTCTAGTATTTAGTTAAATCAGATCATTAGGGGTATATCGATAATAAGGGAACAACAAAAGTCAGTATTTTTTGAATATCGAGCTTGACTAGCAATCAATTCTATCTTCAGATATAAGGAGATTGCTTTTATCTTAGAAACAAATTCCTCGATATCTCTCATAACAGGACAATTACTTTCGGACAGGGTAGGCTCAAAGTCTAAATAAGAATGAAAACTGTAATTGAAGAAAAACAGAGTTATTCGGGTACTCTCGAATTAGACATTATTGATAAAGAACTCAACAAATAAAAGTTACTCTATCTAATCGTTTTGTAGGTAAACTATATATAATTTGAGATATTGCTTCAATATTGCATTGGCTTTTTAGTTTATTTATTAATTTCAGAATAATAAACAATAAAGAATCTAACGAATACTCCTAAATGCTTACAAATATGCTTTCAGAATTCGAATATAAATTGAACTTCATAATCGGAAATAATTATTAAAGGCAAGTTGTAAGCTTTTAGATATTCTTTTTAGAATAGACAAGTGATTTCTTTAAAGTTATAAATACTATAATAGAATAGAAAATACTTTATTTTGATTAGACAATTGACTATCATTATAATAACATTGAAGTTAATATTTTCGAATAAATGTATAATGAAATTTATAAAGATATCTTGCTAAGCTCTTTGTAGAATCGGGAGTAGGTAGAGAATTCCTTCCTAGTCTTTACAATTAGGGGTAACGCGATAGCAACTATAATAATTACAATCTATTGCGTGATATAATTATAGTAATCAGGTTAATAGTAATTTCAGGATAATAATTCGAAAGTTTGGGTATAATATAGATAACCAATAGTAGAGGACTTGTAATACAAACAAAGCAGATAAGATTTCAGAGAATTATAATTGGGAATATATAGCTTCCCTCAATAATACAGCAAGCTATTGTTTTCGGAATATTTAATAAAAATGATTCTCGAGTATTTCGGGAATTCTTTTTATAAAAATTTCAGAATGGATTTGGGAATAAAGTTAGTTTAATAGTCTTCTTGAAATAGGGATAATAGATTGGCAGGTAGATCTAAAGATATTTCTTGGTTTTTTAGAAGTGTTATAGGGTTGGGTTTTAATATAACGAATAGGAATTCAGATTTGGATATAATAGAATCAAAAAGATTAATAATATTAGAGTTTTTCTGGCTTCATATAGTAATAATGAATTGTATTTTCTTGGTAATCTTGATTTCTTTCAATATATTAATATTAGGGAATAAATCAGGATTTAAGTTTTCTTTTTTCAAAACAATTTGGCTTTGATACAAAAAACGTTTATTTCTCTTTTTAGGAAAATCCTCTAACCTTTTAATCAGAGTATTAGACTTAGTATTTAACTTTTCAAAATGATAAATAATTTGGAAATTAAATCGGAATAGGAATTCGAATTAGTAAGCTTAATAGTGGTTTAGCAATTTCATTATTATAAAATATTCCAGATTCTTATGATTTGTGATTATCTGAATTGGAGATGATATGCCTTCAAGTTTGAGATATCATTTT